CATCTTTATAATTGGTGTTTCAAACTTGGTCTCTAGTAGATTGCTTGTCTCCATTTTGTTTAGTTCTTTTTCTGGAGTTTTGTTCTGTTCTTTTATTTGGGGCATGTTTCTCTGGCTCTTCATTTCGGTAGCCTCCCTGTGTTTGTTTCTATGTATTAGGTAGAGCTGCTATGTCTCCTGGGCTTGGTAGAGTGGTCTAATGCAGTAGGTGTTCTGTAGGTACTGTTTTTCTATTCACCAGATTGGGCATTCCAGATGTGCCCCCTTTGTGGGCTGTATACACCCTCCTATTGTAGTTAAGTATTGATTGTTGTTGGCACATGGTTGGAGGGTATTTACCCACCCATGCTGATTACCTACAAGGAATGGCTACAACCACTGACCACTCACCTCTGACCACTGTGGAGGATCCGTTGTGCTGGGGCTTACCCCACAGAGCAGGACTTTAGCAGGACTCTGTTGCCTGCTGAGTCTGCCTCTTGAGTATGTTTCTTGTGGAGGTAGTTGGGTGGTGATGCTTCAGTGTGGTCTTTAGCTGTTCACTGGGTGTTTTTGCTCTGGGGCATCTTGTTAAGTACAGGCCATGGTTAACCACTGTCTGTGTTCTACCCCGGGGCTACCTGACATGAGCTACAAAGTGATGTGCAGATGGCTGCCACTTGTGCTGGGCTTGGAGGTGTCCAGGAGAGGCCAAGCTGTGAACCAAGGCCGACTGTTGCTAGTGCTTGGCCTGCAGCCACTAAGCAAGTGATACAAGGTTTGCTGAGTCGAGATGCTTCTTATTTGAGAGATTATAGAAAAAAATCTGAAATGTTAGCCAAGACAGTCCATTCATATAAAAAAGCCTCGGGAAACAGCTTGAGTGTGCCCAAATTTGGGTGGGGAAGGGCATCAGGAAATCACCAGGAACGGGCTAACATTGTGAATCAGATAGATGGAGTCTCAGATATGGCACCCATCTGCAGACTCTGTGGGGGAACAGCTCATCAAAGGAACAATGAACTCTGTCAGCACTGCTATTTGGAAGAAAGCTGCCCCTTCCAGCTCTCATCCTGATGCTGAGCAATTCAGTTCCTCCCCATATGCCTCTGGTGCCTTTCAAGCTGTTGTCTCTGTGCTGGAACTCAGAGGGAGTGAGTCCATGTTCCTCTGAGCCCTTTCAGAGGAACTGCCTGGGACTCTAGAAGCCCTCCATCTCCCTCAGCCTCAGTCCCTGTTGGTTTTTACATCTAGATATTATGGAGACTTCTCTTCCTGATACTGGATCCCTGGGCTGGAGGTACTGGGGTAGGGCTGAGACCACTTGCTCCTCAGGGGAGACCCTCACAGCTAAGATGTCCCTCCTGACATTTATCCACCACACGTAGGTGTAGAGTGTATCTGGATAATTTTAAGTGATCTGTCATTAAATTTACTTCTTCTGCTTGATTTGGTCTGATCATGTAGCTCTACATTGCAATTTAAAAAAAAAGATTTTTTAAATTTATTTTTAGAGAGAGGGGAAGGAGGGAGAAAAAGAGAGAGAAACATCAATGTGTGGTTGCGTGTCCTGTTGCCCCCACTAGGGACCTGGTCGCAACCCAGGCATGTGCCCTGACTGGGAATCGAACTGGAGACCCTTTGGTTTGCAGCCTGCACTCAATCCACTGAGCTACACCATCTAGGGCTCTACATTGCAATTTTTGAGTTCAGTCATTGTACTCTTCAGCTTCAAATTTTATTATTTTTATGCTTTATATCTCTTTGTTGAACTTTTTGGTTTTTTTCTGATTTTGTTAAATTTTTCAAAAATTAAATTTGTTGAGGTAAAATTAATGGCAATACACAGACAGCACTGTGAGACTACAGGGGTCATGAAGAGTCAGGGAATATGACACTAGATGATCTTGTTAAATTTTTTATATGTTTTCTTTAGCTCTCTGAGCTTTGAGAACAAGTACTTTGAATACTTTGCTAGGGCAATTTGTGATCTCCATTGTGGGAAGATTTATTGCTAAGAAGTTTATTACGTTCCTTTGGTGATGTTGTTTCCCTGATTCTTTGTGATTACTATAGTTTTTCAGTGGTGCCAAGAGAGAAATCCCCAGCCCAGGAGTCTTCCCCTTGCTGAGAAAAGAACAATAGGGTGAGTGACAATTTTCCCCACTCATTCAGGACATTGAATAAATGACCTGCTGTGGTTTCACTATACCCACTATATGGGCATAGATGAGAAGTCTAGAGACGATTAAGAACAAAGACGAGCAGGAACCACCAGTATGAGCCATGTAGCATGATTGGCCATGATTTTTTGTGTCCTGCTGCAGAACTTATAAAGTCCTCTTACAGATTTTATAAAGTAACTTGAGTAAGGAAAGATCTTTACTTGTGGCTTGGAGTACACTGGAGCATGCTGTGACCCTCATTTAGTGGTACAGGATGCCTCATAGGGGTGTATGGGGGCTCCAGGTCTGGGGGCATTTTTGGACATATAGCTGTGGTTCACAATATGATCCTTGACAGCAAGAGTTGTGTATGGTCTGTGGTGGCTGCAAGGGTTGTTGGGGTCTTCAACAGAATCAACAGGTCTAGTGTTGATGGACTGGGGCAGGCAGCAGTGATGGCCAAATTTGGCAGTATGTAAATTCTTGGGGCTAATTGCCAGCCTACCTGTCCAATGGTGAGATCTAGTTCTAGTGGAATGGGCTAGGGCCAACTGTGGGCACAATAGTAGCTTAGAGTGTTCAGGCTATCAGTGTATACTGATGTAGCTATAGCAGTTACCTACAAGCACGTGCACAGCTGTGGGGGCTGGTAAATGGAATTGAGGTTAAAAGTGTGCAGGTATGTGGCTATAGTGGTTAGCTGTAGGCATATGAGGCAGTGTAGTCCACTAATAGCAATCAGAACTGACTCTAGGCACCTGAAAATCTTCAGGGGACTGGTCTGGTATTATGCACATGGCCAGTCACAGAGGCCAGGGCTGGCTCCTGGCACATATCCTGAGACTCAGGACATCAGTGATGCCCTTGGCAGCAACCTGGAGGGTGGAGTGTGGTTGGGCACACTCAGACTCTTAGAATTTGTAAATGTGGGGCTATCAGCAGTAAAATCGGCAGGATGTTCACAGTGGCTGTGCTGGCTATTGGTTTCCTCAGCAGCAAAGGCTTTTGGGGTCTTCTGCACAGCAGGACAAAAAAATCATGGTCACTCATGCCATATGACTGATACTTGTAGTTCCTGCTCTTCTTAGTTCTTAATTGTGTCTAGACTTCTCACTTATACCTATATAGTGGGTATAGTGAATCCATAGCAGGTCATTTGTTCAAGGCCCTGAATGAGTGGGGAAAATTGTCACTCACCCTATTGTTCTTTTCTCAGCAAGGGGAAGTCTTCCAGGCTTTGGAGTTCCCTCCTGTCACTGAGTGGTGTGGGCCTGAGAGATGAGCTAGCTGATGCAGGCAAAATAAACTATACTTCCTGTTCATTTTGTATAGTTATTCTAATGTTTTTTTTTCCTCCATTCTGTTGCTGATTTTCTAGAGTAAACTCCTGAGCTCTTCCAGATCTATTTTTGTGTGTATAAATAGCTGTCTAATTGTTTGGGGTTTTTTTTTTTTGAGGGGGAGGTTGGGCATTGAAGGCAGGAGGCTTCTACTTCACAAAGTGATGTTACTCCAGGCTTTTCTCATTATGATATTACACAGAGGTTTTGTAGATGGCTTTTATCAAGTTGAGGGAGTTTCCCTTCTTTTCTAGTTGGCCAGGGTTTTTAAAAAAATCATAAATGTGTATTTGAGATGTCCATTTAAAAAAATACAGTGTTAGAAAAACAAAAGAAAAGTGTCAAGCAGGTTGGCTTGATAGTCCGGTCCCAAACTGAGAAATAGAATTACCTCTTTCTTTTTTCTTCTGTCTCTGGTGGGAAAATATAAGGGAAGAGGATTTCCATGTATTGTATCATATGTTTTTCCAGAATAGAAAACGATTCCTTATCTTTTAAGTATGTTCTTCTATTTTATAAGAAGTCACCATATTAGTTATCCCCTTTTCAAGCTGTTCATGCTGTAGATATAAGTAAAGATAGAACTGATTGAGTTTGACAGGGCTCCTTGGCTATCTGTCAAGAATTCCTTTTTATCCCGCACAGCTCTGGAGAATGTATCGGGTTGGCCAAAAAGTTCATTAGGTTTTCCCCATTAGGTGGCTCTGGTAGTGTTTGGTTGTCTTTAACTTGATTCAAAACAATTTTGTTAGATTGTATTGTGACAGCTGTCATATCAGCATGCATTTTCAAAAAAACTTATCAAAATTGGGGAATTTTTGTGTAGCCATTTTAATATTGAGGATGGAAGAAAAGATGCAACACTTTTTGGCATATTATGCTTTATTATTTGAAGAAAAGTAAAAATGCAACTCAAACACAGGCAAAAGATTTGTGCAGTGTATGGAGAAGGTGCCACAACAGATCGAATGTGTCAAAAGTGGTTTGCAGACTTTCATGCTGGAGATTTCTTACTAAACAGACAATGCTTCGTGGTCAGGTAGACCAGTTGAAGTTGATAGTGACCAAATCGAGACATTAATTGAGAACAGTCAATATTATACCACACAGGAGATAGCCAACATAGTGAAAATACCCAAATCGATAAAGTTATTGGTGAAAATGATAAATGTGTCTTATTTTACAGAAAAAACACATGTGAACTTTCTGGCCAACCCAATAATAGGTCTTAACTCCTATCTATTCCTCTGCAAGAGCAGTTTCCCTACCACATGGGCGATTTGCCTTGAAAAAGAGATTGGAATATAAATGCTGGATATCACATCAAGTGACTGGATATCTCCTGCACCTTGATGAGATCCTAGACATTTGGGATAAGTATTCTGAGTATCTAGCATTGGGCTTGTTACTAAGTAGACAGTCACTAAATATTTGTTGAGTAAGTGATGCCCACTTAACAATTGTTAAGACCTCCAAAACTTATATAAGACAAAATGTCTTTTGCTTTCAATTCTAGACTCTTGGTCCAGTGGGTTTTATGAAAAGTGCCATCACTGTGGCTCAGAATGAAAACTGGAAGAGAATAAGAACATTGCTGTCTCCAACCTTCACTAGTGGAAAGCTCAAGGAGGTAAGTGTATAAGAGGACATTTAATTTGAAACTTAAAGAATGTGTCTGGAGACAAGTAGAAAATAAGATAATTTCTTTCTAAGGGTAACCTACTGAATTTGAGCTTCCTAAAAAAAAGGTCTTTTATCTTTATGTCCTAGAAATGACATTAATAAAATTCATTATAAAATATTTCTTACTGCTCCATGCTTGTGAAAGCCAGGTCCTTCTAGGACTTGGGTCTTCACGTTTAACTACAAGTAGTGTTATTTTTTGTGTCTAGATGTTCCCTATCATTGGCCAGTATGGAGATGTGTTGGTGAGGAATCTGAGGAAGGAAGCAGAGAAAGGCAAACCCATCAACTTGAAAGAGTGAGTAGGAGCCCAGATGCTAGGATTCTGAGCTCTTCCCCAAGACCCTCCAGCTGCCTTCCACAGAGCCAAAATTCCCACTGCTGAGTTACTCTATGACCAAATAGAAGTAGGTGTGTGGTGTTAGAACTACAGTGGGCTACCCAAGAAGATGTGGCTCACCCATAAAGGCAGGTCAGCCAGGAGGGAAATGCCTTCTCTTGTGTATGTGAACCAGGATTAGTGTGTCTGCTTGATTGTCACCGTGGATATTCTGGAAGACAAAGATACATGGTTCAGAAAGAAGAAATGTGATTATACCAAAGGGTCCAGTGTAGAGAGTGTGAAATAGTAGTACCAGGGGAAGATACTGGTGCCTATTGGTGGGCAGTGGGTGGGGCAGGGAAGTTACAATGTGGAAATTGGAACAACTTAAACCCCTTAATGAGTTTGGTGAGGACACCAGCAAAATACTAAACATTAAATTTTACCACCACTTCTTTCTTTAATCTAAAAGAGAGAAGGTCCTGTACAGACTATGGGGTAGGGTGGCCATATTATTTATTGTCTAAAGTAAGGCTTTTAAAAAAATTATGCAGGAACAACAGATGTAAATTGAGACTGGTCTGGGAAACCTGGGGACATATGATCACTTACCTATGGGATTTCCCCAAATTGATTTTGAAGTGACTTATTATTATGACTTTTAAAACCAGGATCATTCTTAGTTCTTATATTTCACATAAATGAGCCCTGGCTGATGTGGCTCAGTGGATTGAGTGATAGCCTACATGCCAAAGTGTCACTGATTTGATTCCCAGTCAGGGCACATGCCTGGGTCGCAGGATGGGTCCCCAGTAGGGGGTGTGTAACAGGCAACCACACATTGATGTGTTCCTTTAGTTCCCCCTTCCTTCCCCTCTTACTAAAAAGAAATAAAACTTGTAGGAAAAAATCAAACAAATTATTCATTAAAAAAAAAAAAGAAATGAATCTGCCCTCGGGGCAACCTCAGATCACTGGAGTTCAGGAGAGTGAGTCTTTCTAGAGCTTTAGCAAGAGTGTAGAGAAGCAGGGATGACATTTCTGGCAACTCAGACCAGGGTGCTGCTCTTCTGTAATGTGCTGAAGAGGAATCAGCTTTGAATATACATACCACAATGGGGCAAGACCTAGATCGCTGTCACTTTTTTTGCTTCCACTAGGAAGAGCTCATTATCTACCCTTTGTTCTACTCAAACACAGGACAACTGCTGTTGTCCAGACTCAAAACATACTATTGTAGTTTGTCTGATTATGGGTCTCCATCCCTCTGACTAATCTCCCTGTGCTCACAGGTGGGTCTAAGTTGCCTTGGTATCCCCACAACCCCAGCACAGGACCAGCTGCATCACTCACACCTGATAAGTACCTCATGATTGTGTCAGGAGCATAGATTTTTCAGATGATCCAGTTGATGGTTTTGACAGTTGTGTGGCTCTTTACCTGTCTTTCCTGAGTATATGAATTTACATTCCCTCCTTGTTGTACGTGTTGAATAAGGCTAGTAAAGATTTGCTGATTTTAATTTTCCATGTCTTTGTTTCTCTGCTCAGCATCTTTGGGGCCTACAGCATGGATGTGATTACTAGCACATCATTTGGAGTGAACATCGATTCCCTCAACAACCCACGAGATCCTTTTGTGGAACATATCAAGAGACTCCTAAAATTTAATTCATTTGATCCACTGCGTCTCTCAATAAGTATGCGGGCTACTATGTTTCTCTTTCTCTCTCCCTCCTTATGTCCCTTCCTTCCACACCCCCCTCCTTCTCTTCTCTCCTCTCCCACCCTACCAGCATCCCTTCCTTTCATTTTTTAAAAAATTTATTGAGATATAATTAACATGCTACATAATTCATCCATTTAAAATGTGCAGTTCTATCATTTTTACAACCCAGTGTCCATCAAGAGATAAATGTATTAAAAATACCATATGTAAACACACACAATAGAGTACTATTCAGCTATAGTGCTGCCATTTGCAACATGAATGGACCTTGACAACATTATGATAAGTTGACTAAGTAAGAGAGAGACAAATACTGTGTGATCTCACTTATATGTGGGATCTAAAAATATAGCCAAACTCAGAAGAATGAGTACTGATTTGTGATTATCAAGACAGGGGTTAAGGGTGGGAGAATTGGATGAAGGTGGTTAAAAGGTATAAATTTTCAGTTATACAATCAATAGGAGTGTAGATTCTAAAAGTTCCCATCACAAGGGAGAAAACAATTTTTTAACTATATAAGGTGATTGATATCAACTAAACTTATGGTGGTAATTATTTCACAATCTGTGTATGTCAAGTTAGTATGCTGTATACCTTAAACTTATACAGTACTGTATTTCAATTACTCAATAAACAGTAATTTTTATACTTTCAAAGATATGTGCAACCATCATGGCATCATTTGTTAGAACATTTTTGCCAACTTAGAAACCCTGTACCTTTTCATTTTCACCTGCTGCTACCTTTAGCTATTAGCAATCACTTTCTTAGTTTACGCCTCTCCGGACTTGTGTGTGCTGGACATTTCATATATATGGAATCACATAATTTGTGGTCTTTTGTGTCTGGCTTCTTTAACTTAGCATAACGTTTTCAAAGTTTCCCATGTTGTAGCATGTATCAGTACTTCATTTCTTATTATGGCCAAATAACAATCTAGTGGATTGTGTATATTCTAACATTCTCATTTTTTTATCTATTCATTAGTTGATGGATATTTGGGTGGTTTCTACCTTGGCTATTGTAAATAGTACTACTGTGAACATTTATGTACAATAATTTTTTTGTGTGTACCTGTTTCAATTCTTTTGGGTTTCTCTTGGCTTTGATTATTCTACTCAGGGATGAAATTTCTGAATGGTATAGTAATTCTGTATATAACTTAATAAGGAACTGCCAAACTCTTTTTCACACTAGCTATACCATTTTATAGTCCCATCAGTAATGTATGAAGGTTCCAGTTTCTCCACAACCTCACCAATGCTTGGTTGACATTTTCTCTGTTTTTGATTATGGCCATTCTAGTGGGTATAAAATGGTATCTCATTGTGGTTTTGATTTGCATTTCCCTAAAGACTAAGGATATTGAGTAACTTTTTACATGTTTTGGGGCCATTTTTATATCTTTTTTAGATAAATGTGTATTAAAATTATTTGCCCACATATAGTTAGTTGGGTTGTTTCTTTTTGTTGTTAAATCATAAGAGTTCTTTATTTATTATAGATAAAATTTCTTATTAGATATGTGATTTGAAAAGTGTTTCCTATTCTGTGTCCTTTACTTTCTTGATATGTGTCCTTTAAAAGATAAAATTTTTAATTTTGATAGTGTACAATTATATATTTTTTTCTTTCATTGACTGTGCTTTGGTGTCATATTTAAGAATCCACTGCCAAAACTGTCATGAATAATTACTCCTTTGGTTTTCTTATAAATGTATATATTTTAGCATTTATTTTTAGTTCTTTGATCCATTTTAATATTGTTTTTATATATGATGTAAGAGTTCAACTTCATTCTTTTGTGTGTAGCTATCTAGTTGTGACAGCACCATTTATTAAAATGATATTTTCATAATGAATCATCTTGGAACCCTGCTCAGAGTTCAGTTGACCATAAGCACAGGGGTTTATTTCTGGACTCTAAATTATACTCCATTGATCTGTATGCCAGTCCTTATGCCAGTACCACATTGCACTGATTATTATAGATTTGTGGTAAGATTTGAAATCTGGAATTGGAGTTCTGCTACTTAAAGTTTTTTTTCCCCCAGATTTGTTCTAACTATTCTGGGTCCCTTTCAATTTCATAAAATTTAAAATTTATCTGGTTAGTTTGTACAAAGAATTGTAGAAGCTAGGATTCTAATAGGAAATGCATTAAAACTGTAGATTGATTTAGGGAGTTTTGCCTTTTTTGGCAATATTAAATTTCCTGTTGGGAGAACATGGATGTTTTTCTATTTACTTAGATCTTTAATTTATTTCAACAATGTTTTGCAGTTTTCAGAGTACAAGTTTTGCATTTGTTTCATTAAAGATTTTTTACTAAAAGGCAGAAAACTGTACTTGAACAACAATTAAAATGGAAAAAATTAAGTGTTTTAAGTACTAAGTATTGGTTTTAAGTATATATTCTAAGTATTCTGTTTTTCTGTATGTTGTGAATTGAACTATTAATTTCACTTTTAGATTGTTTATTGCAGTTTGTAGAAATACAATTGATCTTGCATATTGATCTTGTTTTTTGAATTTCTACTGAAACTATAATTAGTTCTAATAGGTTTTTAGTGGATTTTTAAGGATTTCTATATACAAGATTACACTATCTGATGAAAGAGATAGTTTTACTCCTTCATTTCATATATCAATACCTTTTTTTTTTCTTGTGTGTTTCCACTGGTCAGAGCCTCTAGTACAATGTTAAATAGAATAGGTGAGAGAGGCATCCTTGCCTGGGTCCTAAACTTAGGGGAAGCATTCAGGCTTTCACTATTAAGTATGGTGTTAGCTATGGGTTTTTCATAGATGTCCTTCATTAGGCTGGGGAAATTTCTTTCTATTCTTATTTTGTTAAGTGCTTTTTAAAAATTACAAAATGGTATTGGAATTTGTCAAATGCTTTTTCCGTATCTACCGAGAACATCATATGGTTTTTGTTTTTTATTCTATTGATATAGTATATTATACAACTTGCTAGCCTGGGATAAACCCAAATGATTATGGTGTATACTTCTTTTCATATTTCTGGATTGAGTTTGCTAGTATTTTGTTAAGGATTAATGCATCTATGTTCATAAGATATGCCCATCTGTAGCTTTCTTTTCCTGTGATATCTTTGTCTGGTTTTAGTATCAGGGTAATACTGGCCTTGTACAATGAGTTTAGAAGTGTTCATTCCCCTTTTACCTTTAGAAGAATTTGTAAAAATTAGTGTCTATTCTTCCTTAAACATTTGGTGGAATTCACCATCAGGACGTTAGCTTTCTTGATGGGTAGTTGTTTGATTACTAATTCAATCTTATTACATGCTATAGGTTTATTCAGATTGTCTATTTCTTTTCTGAGGCAGTTTCTATAGTTTGTGTATTTATAGAAATTTGTCCATATCATCTAAATTATCTGAATTGTTCATAATACTTCTATATAGTTCTTTTAAAAATATCACTAGTAATCTCCCTTTTTTCATTTTTCACACTAGTAATTGAAATGTTCTTTTTCTTTATTCTTGGTCAATTTATCTAAATGTCCTTAAAGGATCATCTTTTGATTTCAGTATAGTCTATTGTTTTTATTCTTTATTTTATTAGTTTTTTTCTCTCATCTGTATTATTTCCTTTAACTGTTTTCTTTGGTTTTGTTTGCTCTTTTTTCTCAATGTGTTAAGGGGGGAAATGTGGTTATTGATTTGAGATCTTTGTTTGTTTTTTTTAAGTGTAGGCATTTATAGCTATAAATTTCTCTCTGAGTGCCACTATTGTTACATCTATGAATTTCGGTATGTTATGTCTCAATTTGTATTAATCTCAAGGTAATTCCAAGTTACTCATTTGATTTCTTCTACAACCCATGGATTTTTAGAAGGCTATTTTTTAAATTTCCATGTATTAGTGAGTTTCCCAATTTTCTGTCTGCTATTGATTTCTAATTCCATTCCATTGTGGTCAAAAGACATACACCATATATTACTATCCTAACTACCAATTCATTAAAAAATATGTTTTGGCTAATATATTATTATAAATGCATATTTCTTATAAAATTTTCAAAAAGAAATTTAAAAACAAGTTTATTTAGACAGACAAAAAAACTGTACTTGAAAAATAACTAAATAAAAAAATTTAAAAAATAAAACCTTATCTTCTACAAAAAAACAAGTTTTAAATTTAAAACTTTTTAAATTTAAAAAGTTTAAAAAATAATTAAATTTAAACAAAAATTTATTTTTTTAATTTTTTTTATTGATTATGCTGTTACAGTTGTTCTATTCCCCCTTTCATTCCCCTCCACCCTACCCCCCCATCCCCACCGTTACCCCCCCTTTAGTTTATGACCATGTGTCTCAAGTCCTTTAGATTCTATATTTTCCATGCTATTCTTGCCCCCCCATCTATTTTCTATCTACTGTCTATGCTACTTATTTTCTGTACCTTCTCCCCCTTTCTCCTCCTCCCACTCCCCTGTTGCTAACCCTCCTTGAGATCTTCATTTCTATGTTTCCACTCCTGATCTAGCTGTCCTTTTAGTTTGCTTTCATTTTAGGTGTGGTTGTTAATAACTGTGAGTTTGTTGTCCTTTCACTGTTCATGTTTCTTTAACTTCTTTTTCTTAGATAAGTCCCTTTAACATTTCATATAATAGGGGCTTGGTGATGATAAACTCCCTGAATTTGATCTTATCTGAGAAGCACCTTATCTGTCCTTCTACTCTAAATGAAAGTTTTGCTGGATAGAGCAATCTTGGTTATAGGTCTTTAGATTTCATGACTTGGAATACCTCTTTCTAGCCCCTTCTTGCCTGTAAGGTCTCTTTTGAGAAATCTGCTGACAGTCTGATGGGGACTCCTTTGTAGGTGACTGTCCCCTTAGCTCTTGCTGCTTCTAGGATTCTCTCCTTCATTTTAATTTTGGCTAATGTAATGATGATGTGCCTTGGTGTGTTCCTTCTTGGGTCCAACTTCTTTGGGACTCTCTGAGCTTCCTGGATTTCCTGGAAGTCTATTTCCTTTGCCAGCTTGGGGAAATTCTCCTTTATTATTTGTTCAAATAAGTTTTCCACTGGTGGCTGTGCCTTTCCCCCTTCTGGTGCCCCTATAATTCAGATGTTGGAGCGTTTAAAGATGTCCTGGAGGTTCCTAAGACTCTCCTCATTTCTTTGAATTCTTGCTTCTTGACTCTTTTCTGTTTGGCCATTATTTGTTTTCTTCTGGTCCACTCCATTGATTTGAGTCCCAGTTTCCTTTTCATTGCTATTGGTGTCCTGTGCAATTCCATTCATTTCAATTAGTTTTGCCTTCATATATTTGTCTAATTTGTGGCTATAATCAACCAGTTCTATGAGGATCCTGATCACCAGTGTTTTAAACTGTGTGTCTGAGAGTTTTGCTATTTCTTCATCACTTAGACCTATAGGTTCTGGGGCTTTGAGATCTTCTTGCCCTATTTTTGGTCTGTTTGCGCCCTTTAAGTGTGAGAAGCGTCGCCTTGGACTCCCAGGTCGCTGGGTTGTGACGCTACATGTGGGGGCGTGGTCAGAGCAGGGAAATGGCTACCCCCTCTGCTGTTTCTCACAGCTGGGTGAGGATCAGCGCCTTAGGTGGTTCACCTGGGCCCGGCCACTCAGAGTCGCTGTGTTATGATGCTGTATGTGGAGGTTGGGTCAGAGCAGGGAACTGGGGGCGCCCTCCACTGCAGCTTACCGTGAGGACTGCCGGGCCCTGGTCCAATCGCCCACTTCCTCGCCTGTCCACCCGCGCACAAATGCGCAACCACAGTCAACACACAGCCCCACTCCCCCACTGTCTCCCCCGTGGTCGCTCGCCTGGTCGCTCGCTCAGTCGCTCACTAGGTCCAACCCTGCGCCTAAATTCCGCACATCTGGATTCCACGCACCTGAGTCCATCTAACCGTGTCCTCCTGTGCAACCCCGCTTCACCAGCCGCTGGTTTCTCCCCTTACCGGTCAGGCGGAAGAATTTGTTGTTAACAGACTTCCGAAAAGTTCAATTTTCCGTGTTCTGGATGTGTTTTCTATTGCTAATATTTAGTTGTCTCTAAACTTGGTTGTGTGAGAAGGCACGGCACATCCACCCATGCCTCCATCTTGGTGGAAGTCCTAAACAAAAATGTAATTATAGGTTTCTCACCTATAATTAAACACTCAGATACAATCATTGTTGACATTTTGGTGTCTAGTGTTCTACTGTGTCCATGCATGTGCATCTGACTACTTCTTGAACACTGAGATTAATTAAAGTATCAGACTCTGGTCTGGTTTATTCAAGGACAGTCTTGTTCAATAGATAAAATGCAAAGCCATTCAGGAATGTAATACTGTTTCTTTAGTCACCCAAAAGATGAGAAAGAGGCTGCCGATCTCACTGCTACAGTGATGGTCCTTGTATGTGGACTTGCCCTTGCTCAGCCATGGGCTTGAAAGTCTGAGCAAAGGTCATAGAGGGAATGGCTCCTTGCTAAGAAGCCTGGTGTCTTTTACTGTTCAGATTAGAAGAGAAAATTATAATTGCTCCAGGTGTATTTGTATTTTCATTGTGCTTTCTTTTTTTCTTACAGTGCTCTTTCCATTCCTTACCCCAATTTTTGAAGTATTAAATATTCATCTGTTTCCAAAAAGTGTTATGGATTTTTTCATAAAATCTGTAGAAAGAATGAAAGAAAGTCGCCTCCAAGATAAACAAAAGGTAAAATCTGGTAGTGGTTACATGACAGTGTTCCCTTTCTGATCATTTATTGAGCTGTATACATATAATTTGTGCACTTCTCTTATTTTGGATGGGTAGAGAACTCTAGGTTTATAGGATGAAAGTTATATAAAATTTTGTAGGGAATAAAGAAGGTAGAGTTTGGGAAAGGAAAAGGGAAAATGAGTCAGAGAGACAATGTTTGAAATATAACAATGGTTAGTATGTCACCACATGAAAATGTTTGGGATTTTTTTTCACATAAAACATACAACTTCCTTTCAATAAACTGTGAAAAAAGAAGTGCTATTTTACAATTATTTTTCTTGTATTCTCATTTCCCCAGGCCTTAAACTGGCACAGAATCATCACTTCCAAGCCTCTTACTTTACACATTCTGCAATGAAGGCCCCATGAGGCACCTGACAGAGTGTACTCACTCTGTTAAGTCTGAGCCTGCTCAGAGACCGAGAGGGCAGGAGTTTTCTCTGGGCCTTGAGGTTACAAGCTGGCCAACCCAGCTTTGCCTTCATGGACCTGGAGGCCAGCACAAGAATGTCTGCAAGTCATGGTGATAGGGTTAGTTACCCCAGGATTTCACTGAACATTGTGGAGAGTTCTGGGATGGTGGGGCATTTGAAACTGATCACAGAAAAAGCACCAATAAACTCTTCAAGTGTTGGGAGGTTAATCTATGTGGCCATTAATGAAAAAATTAAGGCTAAAGAAAACAATTGAGGTCAGCAATTACTTTTTTTTGTGAGCAAGCAGGTGTGACAAGGGGTAACTTTTTGACCAGGGAGCTGTGTTCAAAAGTGAGAGAAGCCAGAGACCAGAAAGAGTGAGGACCAGAAAGCAGTTGAATTTTGGCTGAATTTCTCCCAGAAGAATATCCTGCTCTCCGAGATTGGTAGCTGGATGTTTGTGCTCATTGATAACTCAGCAGTAGTAAGACTTCTGGACTTAAAGGGGCCTATTATACAGCATAGTGAATATAGTCAATAACATAGCAATACCTGTAGACCAGGTGGGTACTGGAAATGTTCAGGGGGACACCTTGTAAAGTATATGATTGTCTCACCACTATGTTGCATGCATAAGATAATACAAAGTAGCATTGAATATAAACTGTAATTGAAAAATACATTTGAGAAAAATACAGGGATCATAATATTAGAAAAAAATACAGTACTGCACTCTTGATTTATTTCTGACTTCACAAGTGACTACGTCAATGTAATTTTTCCTTCTGCTTTCAGCACCGAGTGGATTTATTGCAGCTGATGATTAACTCGCAGAATGCCAACGAAATAGACTCCCATAAAGGTAAACAAGGCATGTTCAGAGGGCCAGGGATGGGGACACTCAAATGTTCTGAAAATGTGCATGAAGTTTTCTATGCAGATAAGAATTTCTGCCAAATTGAAGAATGGCAGATACTTGGGTATAAATGGTAGCCAGAGGCACTTTCTAGAAGCAGGAAGGTATGACTTTGTTTAAATATTGAAGGGTACCATAAACAAGAATTTTATGCCCAGAAGTCAGTCAGTGGCCTGTGGTCACCTATATCAGGACCTCTGTGGAGCTTGTTTCCAATGTCTAGTCTCTGGCTTCATCCAGCAGCATGGACATTTGCATTATGACTTCATCACATCAGGCAGGACGACTGTAGCTGAACAAAAAAAAATAAATGTATGATGAAATTATTAAGTATTAGTAAGTATTAAATTATTAACTAAAATTTAATTATGAAAAAAGGGACTTCAGACATACTGCCCTCCTCACACAACCAAAAGAAAGACAACAACAAATTTTAAAACAAAAACAACCAGAAAATTGAACTGTATGGAAGTCTGACAACCAAGGAGTTAAAGAAGAAATATTCAACCAGACCAGTAGGAGGGGCAGAGACAGGCAGCCAAGTGGAGAGGACTCATGGCAAGGCAGCGGCTGGCAGACCACGGTGGGCAAGACTGTGGCTGGTGGGCAAGGTGGTGGCTGGTGAACCAGGCAAGGTGACAGATTGCAGATGGGTGGTCCCACATTCATGTGCAGATAAACCAGGAGGAACAACTAGGGAGTGAGACATACCACACAACCAAGAGTTCAAGCATGGAGAAATAAAGCCTCAAACCTCTGACTGAAAACACCAGTGGGAGTTGAGGCAACAGCAGGAGAAACTCGCAGCCTCACAGGATAGTTCATTGGAGAGACCCACAGGGTCCTAGGATGTACACAAACCCACCTGAGAATCAGCACCAGAAGGGCCTGATTTGACTGTGGGTAGCAGGTGAAGTGACTGGAAATCGGTGGAGAGTAGAGCAAGTGGCAGTGTTCCCTCTTGGACCCCTCCCATACAGACAGCATCACAATATAGCAACATTGGTTGCCCTGCCGTGGTGAACACTTAAGGCTCTGCCCCTTACTAAGTAACAGGTGCACCAAGACAAAAAAAATCGCCCAAATTAAAGAACAAGTCAAAGCTCCAGAAAAAATAACACTAAGCAACGAAGAGATAGCCAACCTATCAGATGCACAGTTCAAAACACTGGTAATCAGGATGCTCACAGAAATGGTTGAGTACAGGTAAAAAATAGAGAAAGAAGTGAAGGCTATGGAAATTGAAATGAAGGAAAATGTAGAGGGAACCAACAGTGAATGGCAGGAAACCAGGACTCAAGTCAACAGTTTGGAACAAAAGGAAGAACAAAAAGTTCAACCAGAACAGAATGAAGAAACAAGAATTCAAAAGAAATGAGGGAAGTCTTAGGAACCTCCAGACAACTTTAAACATTCCAACATTCAAATCATAGGTGTGCCAGAAGGAGAAGAGGAAGAGCAAGAAATTTAAAGCTTACTTGAAAAATAATGAAGGAGAACTTTCCCCAACCCAGAAATGGAAATAGACTTCCAGGAAGCCCAGGAAGCTCAGAGAGTCCCAAAGAAGTTGGACCCAAGGAAGCGCACACCCCACAGGAACATCATAATTACATTAACCAAGATTAAAAATAAAGAGAGAATCTTAAAAGCAGCAAGAGAAAAGGGGACAATTACCTACAAAGGAGTGCCCATAAGACTGTCAGCTGATTTCTCAAAAGAAACCTTTCAGGCAAGGAGGGACTTGAAAGAAGTATTCCAAGTCATGAGAGGCAAGGATCTACAACCAAGATTACTCCATCCAGCAAAGCTATCATTTAGAATGGAAGGGCAGATAAAGTGCTTCCCAGATAAGGTCCAGTTAAAGGAGTTCATCATCACCAAGCCCTTATTATATGAAATGTTAAAGACATTTATCTAAGAAAAAGAAGATCAAAACTATGAACAGTAAAACAACAACAAACTCACAGTTATTAGCAACTGAACCTAAAATGAAAACAAAAACAAACTAAGCAGACAACTACAACAGGAATAGAATCACAGAAATGGAGATCACATGGAGGGTTATCAGTGGGGGATTTGGTAGAGAAAGAGGGGAAAAATGTACAGAGAATAAGTAGCATAAATGGTAGGTAGAAAACAGACAGGGGGAGGTTAAGAATAGTATAGGAAATGTAGAAGCCAAAAAACTTATATGTATGACCCATGGGCCTGAATTAAAAGGGAGGAATGTGGGTGGGAGGGGGTGTGCAGGGTGGAGGGGAATAAAGGGGGAAAATAGGTCAACTATAGTAGCATAATCAATAAAACATATGAAAAACTTGTGCATTTACATAATGGAATACTATGCAGCAGAAAGAAGGAGCTCCTACCATTTGCAACAGCATGGATATAACTGGAGAGCATTATACTAAGTGAAATAAGCCAGGCGGTGAAAAACAAATATCATATCATCTCAACTTTAAGTGGAGCCTAATGAACAAAGCAAACAAGCAAATAAAGTATAGCCGGAGACATTGGAATTAAGAACAAGCAGACAGTAACCACAGGGGAGGTGGGAGGGGATAATGGCAGGGGAGGATGAAGGGTTTTCAGGAACAACAATAAAGGACACACAGACAAAACTAAGGAGTGGTAAAATCAGGGGATCATGGTGGACATGGCTGGGGTAGGGGGAAAGGTGTGGGGAGAGGGCAGAAAACTGTACTTGAACAACAATAAAATAAAATAAAAAAGAGGGTAGGAAGGATGCTACTAGCCAGAAAACATACAATATTCACAAAAAGGACCCCTGGCTGGCGTAGCTCAGGGGATTGAGCACAGGCCTGCGAACCAGAGGATCTCGGTTCAATTCCTAGTCAGGGCACATGTCTGGGTTGCAGGTCGGTTCCCTGCAGGCCAGTTCCCAGCAGGGGACGCACTAGAAGCAACCATACATTGATGTTTCTCTCCCTCTCCCCTTCCCCTCTAAAGATAAATAAATAAAATCTTTTTAAAAAAATTATTCACAAAGAGGAAAAAAAGACTTCATCACATTAGGAAGCACATTGCACACATTGCACATTGTGGGTGCCTTTACTTGGACTCTAAATTATATTCCATTGATTTAATGACTGATTAAAATTGTGTTCACCAGCTTAAGCTGCTGTAAAGTTTTATTTTTTATTTGTAATTAACAAGTAACTTGTGGGGATGCCTTTAGAACTAAAAAAATATTCTGTTCCTCTTCAAACCTTCACTTACTAGCTTTATCATCCATAGATTGTTTTTGATGGAATTATTATTACTGTGATTGTTGCAAAATGATGACTTTCTAATTTCATCATTTCTTCTACTTTTATGAGTTTATGTTCCACTGTAAGGGGGAGCTTTTCATTTTATCTCATTTATTTATTTGTGTTTTGTTTATATCAATATGATCTCATATACAGCATCCAGCACAAATAACACCCCTTTTTATTACAAAATCCTTTATTACAAAATCATAAGCGTGTAATTCTGTACCATAACAATATCACACTCAAGCACACCACATGACATTTTAGGTGACATGTTCAACTTTCAGAGAAGCCAAAAATTCAAAAATTTATATGGAACCATAAATGACCCTGAATAGTAGCTGCCCTTTTGAGAAAGAAGAACGAAGTAGGAGGGATCACAATACCTGATATCAAACTGTATTACAAGGCCACTGTAATCAAAACAGCCTGGTACTGGCATAAAAACAGGCACATAGACCAATGGAACAGAACAGAGAGCTCAGAAATAAACCCAACTCTTTACAGTCAATTAATATTCAACAAAGGGGGCAGTAACATAAAATGGAGTAAAGATAGCCTCTTCAACAAATGGTGTTGGGAGAACTGGACGGCTACGTGCAAAAAAATGAAACTTGAGTACCAACTTACGCCACACATCAAAATAAATTCAAGGTGGATAAAAGACTTAAATATAAGCTATGAAACCATTAAAGTCCTAGAGGAGAACATTGGCAGGAAAATCTCAGATATTTCATGCAGCAGCATTTTTACTGATATGTCCCCTAGAGCAAGGGACATAAAGGAAAGAATAAACAAATGGCATCTCATCAAAATAAAAAGCTTCTGCATGGCTAAAGAAAACAGTATTAAGATAAAAAGAGAACCAACTGTATGGGAAAATACATTTGCCAATGATGCCTCAGACAAGGGTTTAATCTCCAAAATATACAAAGAATTTACATGACTCCACTCTAAGAAGACAAGCAACCCAATTAAAAAGTGGCCAAAGGACTTGAACAGATACTTCCCCAAGGAGGATATATAGAGGATCCAGAGATACATGAAAAGATGCTCAATATCGTTAGCTATCAGAGAGATGCAAATTAAAACCACAGTGAGATACCACTTTACACCAGTCAGAATGGCCATCATAAACAAAGCAACAAACAACAAGTGTTGAAGAGGTTGTTGGGAAAAGGGGACCCCAGTTCACTGTTGGTGGGGTTGCAGACTGGTACAACCACTATGGAAAACAGTGTGGAATTTTCTCAGAAAACTAAAAATGGATCTGCCTTTTGACCCAGCAATTCCACTGCTGGGATTATATCCCAAGAGCCCTAAAATACCAATCCAGAAGAACCTATGCACCCCAATGTTCATAGCAGCACAATTTACAACAGCCAAGAGTTGGAAGCAACTTAGGTACACATCAGTAAATGAATGGACCAGAAAATTGTGGTGCATTTATACAATGAAATTCTATGCAGCAGAAAAAAAGAAGGGGCTCCTACCCTTAGCAACAGCACAGATGGAACTGGAAATCATTATGCTGAGTGAGATAAGCCAGGCAGGGAAAGACAAATACCATATGATCTCACCTTTAACAGGATCCTAAACAACACAAACAAGGAAGCAAAATATTACCAAAGGCACTGAAATAGAGAACAGGGGGACAGTGACCAGAGGGAAGAGGGGAGGGAATTTCAGGAGAAAAGGGGAAGGATTTACAGGAGCAAGTGTAAAGGACACATGGACAAAAACTAAGGGGGGTAGAAATGGGAGGGAGGTGGGGAGAACTGGGGGCTGGGCCGGGTTGGGAGTAAAAGACAGAAAACTGTACTTGAACAATAATTAAATAAATTTAAATATATAAATAATTGAATTTATTGAAGCTTTTAAAATGCAACTATATTAAAAGTAAAAATAAAATCAAGCTCTGTGAAACAAACAAAGAAAAAAGATCCTTTAATTTTTCTCCACATAAGCCTTAGTATTGTAAACAATCTCAATTTTTTCCCCGGGGGAGAATGCTACCCTATATTACTTGTAGCTGAGCTACTTTTAGGATTTTTCAGTAATGTACTGCATATGTTACAGAAAAATTCTATCTCTGGAACTGCCCAGCTGTATTAGTGGCAAGACTGACATGACTAAGAGCAGATGGCCAAGAATAATGCAGACATTCCAAAAACTAGATTGACTTTTTTTCTTTTTCTAGATCCATAAAATAAATATGAGAGTGTAAACCCCTTCCAATTTGATCTGAACTAATATCCATTTTTTTCTACCAACAATTTGGAGTTTCATATGGATTTATCATCATCTAAGTTGTGAGAATGTACATTTACCTAAAATGTCTTTCTTCTCCTTTTAGCTCTGTCTGATCTGGAGCTCATTGCCCAATCTATTATCTTTATTTTTGCTGGCTATGAGACCACTAGCACTTCTCTCTCCTTCCTTATGTATTTATTGGCCACTCACCCTGATGTGCAGCAGAAACTGCAGGAGGAGATTGATGCCACATTTCCCAATAAGGTGAGTGGGTGATACCTGGAGAGGGAGGGAGAAAGTGAAAGAGTTTCTCCTCACCACTTCCTAGGAAAATTTTTGCAAAGAGCATAAGCATCAATTCTTTTACCTGTGCTAATTAGGAAGGATATAAAGAAGCAAAAATAAAGAAATATGGGTAATGTATGCTATTTATAGAAAATAAGATCTTTGAAAAAAGCTTTTTTTCTGGCATATCAGTTATCTGTTACCACAATAAATGTCAAGTGAGAATCAAAAAACCTCAGTGGCAATTAACAATAAACATATATTGCTCAGGTGTCTGAATAGTTAGCTGTGTTGATACTGATTGGATTTTCTTTGATCTGGCCCTCAGTTGATCTGGCTGGGTGATGCTGCTCTATACATCCTCCACATGTCTCCCATACTCCAGATAACTAACCTGGGTGTGTTCTCAAGTAATGGTCAAGGGAAAGAGCAAGAAGCCCAGTCATATGGGTACCTTCCAGAACTCTGCTTGCATCACACTTAGCCACATTCCATTGCTTCAAAGCAGGCCACATGGCCAATGCCAGCATTATAGTGGGAGGGTACCACAAAATGAGATTGGCTAAGGGCATGGACACAGGAAAGGGTGGAGAATTGGCACAACCACCCTTGGTACACATTGCAGACTTGGAGAAGCCTGGTATACAGGAAAGAGCATAGGGTAGGAAATAGAAGACAAGGGTTTGTGTCCAGACTAATTTGGACAGGTTATATGACCTTTCTGAGCCACAGGTCTTTCAGCTATAAGGTAAAGATTGTAGGTGCTACCTACTTTGAAAGTATATTTCTTCTCTAGGAAAGCCCATATTGGGATTCTTTTGATAGCAATAACATGGAAAGGTCGCTAAGAGAAAGAGACTAGCTAAAGCACTGTGTTCTGCTTTTAAATAGTGATAATACAACAACAAAAACAGTACTAATAGCTAAATTTGCATCTTGATATACATGTCTCCAAGTGGCTTGTTTTAATGTGAATCTAATCTTTAAAAAATTCTGTATTACTCAAGATAGGCTAGGTTATGTTTCAGTAACAGATTGGTCCTCAATTCTCAGTGGCTTTACATAGCAAGATGTAACTTCTAATGTTTATATGTCCAGCATGGATTGTCAGAGGAGCATGGGAGTAGGAATCTCTGCTCCACATAGTTACTAGGAAAAATAAGCTAAAAAGGCCCCACTTTCTTGTTGCTGCACTCTCCAGGATACAAGCCATTCATGTTGTTTGAAGAATAAAGAACTAGAGTAATTGCTCAGTAGGTTTCCATATGTTTTGACCCTGAATTGACATATGTCACCTCAGCTCACAGCCCATTCTCAAAGCTGGTTTTCCCTGACTTCAAGTGGGCTGAGAGATGCGGAGACTACATGGGTATTGCGCAAGCTGTGAATACTCTGCCACACAATCTATGAAGTGTCAACTCTAATTATCTCCATGTAACATATCAGAAAACTGAGCTATGGAGAGGTGAAATAACTCATACATGGGTCATGTAGTTAGTGGTGAAGAGGCCACTAACCACACCTTAGCCTCTACAATATTGCCTCTTCAATATAACACCAAGTGATACCAAATATTGCCCACCAAATATCTGTTTTCAGATATCTGACAAACCTGGAATTCTTTGTGGTTGAAAGAGACTAGCCTCTGGGGCTGTAGAGTCTTGTCTGAGATCTTCACAGTTTCCAGTCAACCCCTGAAGCAACAACTAGGAGACTGCTCCAGCAAGATATCATGGGGCTGAGTGGGGTTCCACCTGTTTATAACTTTTACTAGAATGAACTGTTTGCTCTGGTAGCTAGCATCCAGTGCCACCCTTCTGCCATATTTGCTTTAGAAAGGAACTCATTTTTCTCCAAATTATTTATAGTTTCTATAACTATATAATATAGTGTTTCTCTCCAAATTTTAATGAAATTTTTTAAATTTTTATTGTTGTTCAAGTTCAGTTTTCTGCCTTTTCCCCCAACCCCTGCCCACCATCCCAGGCTTCCCCACCTCCCTCCCCTGTTTCCACCCCCACCCTTGGTTTTGTCCATGTGTCCTTTATAGTTGTTCCTGTAAACCCTTCAACCTTTTCCCCCCATTATCCCCTCCCCTCTCCCTTCTGGTTACTGTCAGTTGGTTCTTGATTTCAATGTTTTTTGGTTATATTTTGCTTGCTTGTTTGTTTGTTGATTAGATTCCACTTGTAGGTGATGTCATATGGTATTTGTCTTTCACCACCTGGCTTATTTCACTTAGCATAATGCTCTCCAGTTCCATCATATATATCATCTAAAGAGTTAGCAAGCAGAATTTTTAAGTTTTATTATTTTTATTTTTTATTGTTGTTTCATTATAGCTCTCCTGCCTTTTTCCCCATTTCTCTCCTCTGTCCTCACCCTGGCACTCCCACAGTCAATCCCCACCCTCATTGTCCATGCCTGTGCAAGCATAATTTTTCAACGAAAAACCTTAATGTCAGATAGGAATTTTGCTCTTTTACATATTCTCTTTCCTTGGTACAGAAGTGTGACCTCTCTTTTTGAAAGGGTACAGTGACGTTGGCATATTTCAGTTAAGAGTAAGAGGGATTTCAGGTCCTGTTCAGAGTATTGTCCCAAAGTCTCCCATAGACATAACTACTCCACACATCTCAATGGACTATTAAGCAAGTAAAAGGACATGATAGATATTAAAATGTCTATAAATCCTAAAGCCCTTTACCAATACAAGGTATCCTTTGGAGCTCCTAACATTTCTATAGAACTACATAGACTGAGTTGAAAGTTAATCTCAAACCTCAATTTATCAAAATCTCTTTTTTCTTCCCAGGCACCTCCCACTTATGATGCCATGTTCCAGATGGAGTATCTTGACATGGTGTTGAATGAATCTCTCCGATTATTCCCAGTTCTTGGCAGACTTGAAAGAGTATGTAAGAAAGATGTGGAAATCAATGGGGTGCTCATTCCCAAAGGGACAGTGGTGATTGTGCCAAGCTTTATTCTTCACCGAGACCCAGAGTACTGGTCAGAGCCTGAGGAGTTCCAACCTGAAAGGTACTGGGCCTCTCAGAAAGGGAAACCTTCCTGATCTGGGCTGCTTGGGACATATATTGATGTCTGTTAGTACAGATGACAAACTTATGGTCATACAATCATTTATATGTACACATTTTTACTTTGCTTTTCTTTTTTGATTTTTTAATTTTGCTCAAGTACAATTGTCTACATTTTTCCTCACCACACTCCCCCATGCCACCAACCCCCAACTCCCACCCTCAACCCTCCCCTCCCCTATTGGCTTTGTCCATGGATCCTTTATACATGTTCCTTGATGACGATTACCCTACTTTCCCCCATTATCCCACACCGCCCTCCCCTCTGGTTGCTGTTAGTTTGTTCTTTATTTCAATATCTTTGGTTATATTTTGCTTGCTTGTTTGTTTTGTTGATTGGTTTCATTTATAAGTGAGATCATATGATGTTTATCTTTTACCGCCTGGCTTATTTCACTCAGCACAATGCCCTCCAGGTCTATCCATGTTTCGAAGGGTAGGAGCTCCTTCTTTCTTTCTGCTGCATAATATTCCATTGTGTAAATGTACCACAGTTATTTGGTCCACCCATTCACTGATGGCCACTTAGGTTGCTTCCAGCACTTGGCTATTGTAAATTGTGCTGCTATAAACAGTGGGGTGCAGAGGGTTTTTCATTGGTGTTTCAGGGTTCTTTTTTTAAAAATATTTTATTTATTTATTTTTACAGAGAGGGGGAGGGAAGGAGAAAGAGCAGGAGAGAAACATTAATGTGGTATTGCCTCTCATGTGTCCCCTACTGGAGACCTGGCCTGTAACCCAGGCATCTACCCTGACTGGGAATTGAATCGGCGACCCTTTGCTTCAGAGGCCTTGGCTCAATCCACTGAGCTACACCAGCTAAGGCGTGTTTCAGGATTCTTAGGGTATAATCTCAGCAGTGGAATTGCGTGGTCAAAAGGCAGTTCCATTTTTAAGTTGTTTTTTTTTTTTTTAAGGAAATTCTGTTTTCCACAGTGGCTGCACCAGTCTGCATTCCCACCAAAAGTGCACTAGGATTCCCTTTTCTCCACAACCTCACCAACACTTGTCATTTGTTGATTTGTTTATGATGGCCATTCTGACCAGTGAGAAGTGGTGTCTCATTGTAATTTTAATTTGTATGTCTCAGCAGCTGGTGATGCTGAGTATCCTTTCATATGTCTCTGGGCCTTATATATGTCATAATTGGAGAAGTGTCTTTTCATGTTCTTTGTCCATTTTTAAATTGGATTATTTGTCTTCTTGGAGTGGAATTCTTTATGTATTTTGGAGATCAAATTTTTGTCAGAGGTATTATTAGCAAATATATGTTCCCATACACTTGATTCCCTTTTTATTTTGCTAATGTTTTCTTTAGTCATACAAAAGCTTTTTATTTTGATGAGTTCTCATTTGTTTGTTCTTTCATTTATGTCCCTTGCTCTAGGTGACATATAGGTGAAAATCTTGCTGTATGAAATAGCTGACATTTTCCTGCATATGTTCTCCTCTATGACTTTTATGGTGTTATGACTTATATTTAAGTCTTTTATCCATCTTTGAGTTTATTTTTGTTTATGGTGGAATTTGGTGGTGAAATTTTATTTTTTTTACCATGTAGCTGTAGAGATCTCCTAACACCATTTCTTGAAGAAGTTATTTTTTACTCTTCAAGCATTTTATGCTTCCTCCCCTTTTGTCAAATACTAATTGACTATAAAGACCTGGGTTTATTTCTGGGCTCTATTCTGTTCTATTGATCTGCATTTCTGTTCTTATTCCAGTGCCATACTATTTTGATTACAGTGGCCTTATAATATAGTTTGATATTAGGTTTGTGATCCCTCCTACTTTGTTCTTTTTTTCTCAAAGTTGCTGTGCCTATTTGAGGTTGTTTATGATTCCATATAAATTTTTAAATGTTTGTTCTATATCTATGAAATATGTCATTGGTATTTTAAGAGAGACTGCCTTGAATCTATAATTGCTTTGGGTAGTATGGACATTTTGATAATGTTGATTCTTGCAATCCATGAACACAGTATATGCTTCCATTTATTTGTGTCTTTCTTAATTTCTTTATTCAGTGTTGATTAGTTTTCTAAGTACAGGTCTTTTACCTCCTTTGTTAGTTTTATTCCTTACTACTTTTGTTGTTGTTGTTGCTATGGCAAATGGGATTTTTTCCCCCTGATTTCTGTTTCTGGTATTTCACTGTTGGTGTACAAAAATGTCTTTGATTTCTGAATATTGACTTTGAACCCTGCTGTTTTGCCAAATTTGCTTAATAGGTTGAGTAGTTTTTAGGTGGAGCGTATAGGGTTTTCTATGTACACTATCATATCATCTACAATCAGTGACAGTTTTACTTCCTCCTTTTCAATTTGGATGCCTTTTGTTTCTCTTTCTTGTCTGATTGCTGTGGCTAGGACTTCCAATACTATGTTGAACTGAAGTGGTGAAAGCAGACATCCTTGTCTTGTTCCTGATTTTAGTGGGAAAGCTTTTACTTTTTCCCTGTTGAATATGATATTAGTTGTAATTTCTCATGTATGGCCTTTATCATGTTGAAGTATGCTCCTTTTACTCCCACTTTGCTGAGTTTTTTTTAATCACAAACAGGTACTGTGCCTTATTATCAAATGCTTTTTCCTCATCTATTGATATGATCATGTGATTTTTGCCTTTCATTTTGTTTGTGTGATGTATTATGTTTCTTTTTTTAAAATATATTTTATTGTTTATGCTATTACAGTTGTCTTCACTCCCCACCACCCCATACTCCCTCTCCCACCCACATTCCCCCACCCCTTTAGTTCATGTTCATGCATCATACATAAGTTCTTTAGCTTCTACATTTCTTATACTATTCTTACCATCCCCCTGTCTATTTTGTACCTACCATCTATGCTACTTATTCTCTATACCTTTTTTTTCTCTCTCCCTGCCCACTCCCTTGTTGATAACCCTCTATGTCTCCATTTCTGTGGTTCTGTTTCCTGTTCTACTTGTTTGCTTAGTTTGTTTTTGTTTTAGGTATGGTTGTTAATAATTGTGAGTTTGCTGTCATTTTACTGTACATGTTTTTTATCTTCTTTTTCTTAGATAAGTCCCATTAACATTTCATATAATAAGGGCTTGGTGATGATGAACTCCTTCAACTTGACCTTATCTGAGAAGCACTTTATCTGCCCTTCCGTTCTAAATGAAAGCTTTGCTGGATAGAGCAATCTTGGATGTAGGTCTTTGGATTTCATGACTTGGAATACTTCTTCCCAGCCCCTTCATGCCTGTAAGGTCTCTTTTGAGAAGTCAGCTGACAGTCTGATAGGATCTCCTTTGTAAGTGATTGCCTCCTTATCTCTTGCTGCTTCTAGGATGCTGTCCATTTTAATCTTGGGTAATGTAATTATGATGTGTCTTGGTGTGTTCCTCCTTGGGTTCAATTTTTTTGGGGACTCTCTGAGCTTCCTAGATTTCCTGGGAGTCTATTTCCTTTGCCAGATTGAAGAAGTTCTTCTTCATTATGCATTCAAATAAGTTTTCCACTCGTGGCTGCTCTTCTTCCCCTTCTGGTACCCCTATAATTTGGATATTGGAATGTTTAAAGATGTCCTGGAGGTTCCTAAGCCTCTCCTCATTTATTTGAATTCTTGTTTCTTCACTCTTTTCTGTTTGGTTGTTTCTTTCTTCCTTCTGGTCCACTCCATTGACTTGAGTCCCAGTTTCCTTTCCATCACTATTGGTTCCCTGTGCATTTTCCTTCACTTCACTTATTGTAGCCTTCATTTTTTATCTAATTTGCAACCAAATTTAACCAGTTCTTTGGGCATCCTGATCACCAGTGCTTTGAAGTGTGCACCTGGTAGGTTTGCTATCTTTTGGTCACTTAGTTGTATTTTTTCTGGAGCTTTGATCTGTTCTTTCATTTGGGCCTTTTTTTTTTTTGCCTTGACATGCCTGTTATGTAGTGGGGGGTGGAGCCTTAGGCATTCCAGGGGGCAACCCAGTTGCTGGGTTGTGATGCTGTATGTGGGGGAGAGGTTCGAGAGGGAACAATGGTGCTTGCTCAGCTCTCTGCTGGATTTCAGTCACTTCTTCTGCTTTCCCCAAGCACACTGGGTCCTTCTTGTGCTGATTTCTGTATGGGTGGGTTTGTGTATGTCCTGAATCCCTGAAGGTCTCTCTAACACACTCTTCTGTGGGTCCAGGAGGTGTTTTCAATTGGTGTCTTGAGGCTTTAATTTCCGGCACTGGATCCCTGGGTTGTGGGGTTTATCTCATTCCCCAGTTTTGCCTGGTTTATCTGTGTGAGAATGTGGGACCACCCATTTTGCCAGCTATGTTGTGTGCCATGCCCCTCCACAATTTGCCACCTCACTGGGTCCACCAGCTGCCATTGGGTTCCTGGGTCCTCCAGCCACAGCTTTTTGTGCTGAGACCCTCTCCACTCAGCCACTGGATTCTGCCCCTTCTACTGGTCTGGATGAATGTGTCTACTTTATCTCCTTGGTTGTCGGACTTCCATACAGTTCAACTTTCTGTCAGTACTGGTTAATTTTTTTTGTTTCTAAATTTTTGTTGTTCTTATTTTGGTTGTGCGAGGAGGCACAGTGTATCTACCCATGCCTCCATCTTGGCCTGAAGACCGTATTATGTTTCTTAATTTGTGAATATTGTACCATTCTTGCATCCCTGGGATGAATCCCACTTGATCATGGTGTATGGTCTTTTTAATGTACTACTGGATATAGTTTGTCAATATTTTGTTGAGGATTTAAGCATCTAAATCCTCAATGTTCATCGATGATATTGGCCTGTGGTTTTCTTTTTTTGTTGTGTCTTTATCTGGTTTTGGAATTAGGATGATGCTGGCTTTGTAAAAACAGTTTAAGTGTCTTCCCTCTTCTTGGATTTCTTGGAATAATCTGAGAAAAATAGGAGTTAGCTCTTCCTTAAAAGTTTTGTAAAATTGTCCCATAAAACTGGCCAGTACAAGGC